AATACATATCAATGACTCATTTAATCAATTTATGTATACTAGTTGTCCTTCATTCAAACTCATTGTCAGTCATTTCCATGACCTATATTTGATAGTATCTATAATCTTCCCAACATTTAATAAATCATTATTAAAAACAATGTTATTTTTATGTAACCAAATACTCCACACCAAGGCTACCTAAATAGTTACTACATACTTCCACTTCTTTTTTCACCCACAAAATCACACATATACAGTAAAAGATCCTCTAAACACTTTGGCATACATAAGAGATAGGGGTGTTCATGGATCGTTTTTTTGAAAAATCCGAACCGAACCAAAACCATTTTATAAAAGAGGATCGGTTCACCGATCCATTTTTTATAAAGTAGATTGGTTTGGTTTTTTTTTTTAAATATGGATAAGTTTTTTTGAAATTGGATCGCTTCGGTGTAGTGCAGTTATTCACTTTTTATTCATATATGGATCGCTTTTTTTTAAAAACCAAACCGAACCGAACCGATCTACTTTGTAAAAATGGATCGGATAACTGAACCGATTTTATAAAGTGGTTCGATTCGGATTTTTTTTCAAAATGGATCGGATTTTTCAATACGGATTGGATCGGTTATGGATTGGTTCATATCAATTTGGATTTTTTGCACACCCCTAATAAGAGAAGCCCAACCAATACCAAATCGAATACCATATACTGCTAGAATTAAAACAATGCAAGAATAGGTGCTTCACCTCTTCGTCTTCATAATTACACAGGGCACAAGATTCATTTATCAACAACATACGATGCTTCACAGACCCATTACATAGTAGCAAAGCTTGTAATAACAATTGCCAAGAGAACACACTAGCCCTTTTGGGAACCAGTGCCTTCCACATACAACACAATGCCAACACCACACCGTTATCAACAGCAGAGCCTGCAGAAAAATAATTATGCAAAAAACCATATGCAGATTTCACCGTATATGCCTTTGATGTATCACAATTCCACACTAACATATCTAGAATGTATAATCGCGGATGTACACCACCAATGAGCCTTATCAATTCACGAATCATTGCCTCCTCCCGTTGAAAAATTATTTGTCTTCGCCATTGGAAATCCCACATCCAAACACCTTCAACAAATCGACCATTTCGTTGAAAAATTATTTGTCTTCGCCATTGGAAATCCCACATCCAAACACCTTCAACAAATCGACCATTTTCACTAATCTTGGACTCCTTATTTGCAGCCATAGAAAATAGTCTAGGAAAAACCTCTGCAAGAGATCGGTCGCTAAACAGCGACTGATAAATTTCGGTCGCTAAATTGGTCACTATTTTGATCGGTCGCTAAATAGCGACCGATAAAATTCGGTCGCTAATTTCGGTCGCTATTTTGTATTTTCCTTGTAGTGTGAGAGACACAAAATCCAAGGCAAATAGTCATCATGTCCTCGAGTTTGATTGTCGTAGTACACATTTTCTAGTGTAAGAGACTATTAACCCAAGGAAAGGATGATCGATTGGATCTTTCACAATTAGACTAGATGAGCAGTGGTGTTACTGTGACAAATTTCAAAAGTTACACATGTCATGCTCACATGTTCTTGCTGCATGTAAGCATATTCACCATCATTACACATCTTACATAAATTCGCTATACACATTAGAATATGTTTATAATGTGTATAATGAATTATTTGGTGAACTGCCCAACAAATCTTACTAGTCAGAGTGTGACAAACTGCAAATCATACCAAATTTGAAAAATATCATAAATAAAAAAGGACATCTGAAGTCATCCTAAATACGCATTGAAATGGATATGGTTAAACTAGGACAACCACAAAGATGTTCTCTATGCAAGAATGTAGGTCACTCTAAGAAAAAAAATATCCTTACCGTCAAAGGAGTTCAAGTCAACAAGCTTAAATGGACGATTTTTCACGACCTACATCTCAATTTCAGTTGATTTTGTTGTGTGTCTTACACAAATATCATATTCTATAATTTTAATTTGCCTTTTCATACCAAGATTTTTTTATTTGTAATGTCAATTTTAATATATAATAAAAAAAATATTATAATTTTTTAATAACAAATTTAATTATGTATAATTATTAATGAAAAATAAATATATTAAATAAATTATACATATTTTCAAATATAACAAATTAATTATTAAATTACTTTCTTAATTTTATATTCTTTTTATTCTTATTTAAATAATAAATATAATTTTTAAAATTTAAATTTAATTATACTATTGTATATTCTTAAAAATATTAAATTTAAATAACAAAAACAATATTTAATTTCTAAAATTTAAAATAAATTAAAATAATTATTTTAATTTAAAAAACCAAAAAACATTAAAAAAATAGAAGAAAAAAAATAACTCAATTAAAAAATCGGTTACTGAATAACTAATTTCTCACTAAACTTTGAAAAATAAATAAATAAAAAACTCACGTTGAGAAATCAATTATCCGAATTTCTCAACTAAGCTTGGGATATGGGTTTAGGTTAGTTAGGTAAATAATTCTTGGAGTGCATTATTTATGAAAAAATAAAAAAAAAATAAAAAAGTCGTGTGTGAGATGTAATGAAGTCTTCTGAATTATAAATCTAGCTTTTTAATCCTAAACAAATTCCTCAACTTCAAACTGCATAACTTACTTTTTGTTATCACTTACTATCCTCTTTTTGGAATGTTCTTTTTCTTGTATGTTAGGTAATAGTATCTCTGGCAGTCGTGTCTAGCGCGCCTCTTCCTCTGGCCACCACAAGCCACCGTTAATTGTCGCCGCAGCCTCTCCCTCTTAGTCTAATTACACTGGCGGTTTTTGCACCCTTTCCCCTTCGCTGCAAACTACATAATCGCAGTGGTTATCGAAGCCACAGTTGTTGCAATTTCCGTTGACTACAAGTTGGCATCGGAGCACCCTATTCCAGTTGAACTTAAGTACGAATGGGTGGCGTCCGACCGGAGTAACCATGGACCCTACCCTTACTTGAATGACCATATACACTTTGGAATGGCTTCATTGTAATTTACAATTTTAAATTTTATAATTGAATACTATATATTAGAAATATGACTTAAATATATTTTTAATTTTTTTAATTTTAAAAAATTATTTTTAATTTTTAAATTTAAAATTATTATGGAGTGTATTTTAAGAATGAAGGGGAAATAATCTTTCTTTTATTCACGTCACTCGTTATCAAAAATCGCATTTTAAGATTTTAATTTTGGAGTGTATTTTAAGAATTTTTATTAAATAATCTTTGTTTAGATGAAGGAGAAATAATCTTTTAATCATTAAGTACGAAAAATATAAAGTTTGCAAGTCCACATAAGTAACATTAAAGTGGGATTTGGTGCTAGCAACACGGTGGACGAGTAATTTTGTGAGAAGGAACAAAACCTCAATTTCTATGAAATTGACAAAGTTAAGTCAATGCCTCTTTTATAGATTATTATTTATCACAATTTGTTTCTTTTTTGGGTTTGTACAATATAAACACAAAAATTTTTTATCCAATTTAATTAACATTAAATTAAATCACATTTAATTTAATGACTTACTTTTCTATTTACTTTTTGTGTGTAATCTCATTGATTCTCACCTAATTGATAATAATATTTACATATTATATATGTTACAAATATTATTAAAAAAATATTGACATCTAATAGTGCATCATTGTGAAGTCATTTCATAACGGGTCCATCTAACATAAATATTACTCCTAATATTTATATTTATATGCCTAACACAATATCTCATATTCATAACTAATGATGCATTAGTAGTCAACTCACACAATAATATCAATGTATTATTGTTGTCCTAATTAACAATAATACTTAATTACACATAATTTAAGAATAGTATTCTTTATTCTAAGAAATTGACAAACATAATCAAATCAAGTCATACTTAATATACATTTGAACTAACGATTTATTTTAAAGAAGTTAACATGCTACAATGACACAATAACTAAAATGATTAAAATATTTATATATCAAAGTCGTAATACTTATATAAAATTGGTTACTTGGACTAATTCGAATAGATTGAAGAGGAATCAACTACTATTTTGTGATGATGTGTTTTCATAGTTAAAATTTATGATTTAGAGGTGATCATACAAACATATCAAAATTAAGCATCATGATACTTCCTTTGACTTATATATATAAAAAAAAAAAATTGCTTAAATTTTTTGTACTAAAATATAAAAAAAATTCAATTAAATCAACTTTATTTAGTACTCTTAATTCAAAAATACTCCCGAAGTAATAAATGAGACAATTATCCACTATAATGTGATTAAAAAAATTAAAAAATATAATATATATATATATATATATATTATATAAAATCGTGAAAATTATGTATTTAATTAAATTTATTAATACGTGCGAAATTAATTCTTTTTCGTATATATAATTTCAAAGGGAATATCATAAGTTCAGGATAATGCAGAGGTTCAGTCAATATTATGGCCAAGTGTTTGTCAAATGTGCAGCTAACAAAGATGTTGGGATTAAGTAGCAAGCTGATGAATCAGGTGTTGGGTTAAACTTAGTGTTTTGTTTTGATTTTATTATTTAAACATCAAAATCTAAACATTGAATTTAATACTACAAATATTTTCATTTAATTGTTATCTAAAAATACTTCAAATGAAAGGGGACAGCCAGAAAAACCATTATTTTATTTATCGTGCTAAAATCTAGGAAATTTCTTACGTAAAACTAATCTCCGTCAAATTTGGTTTCAAGCATGTGAACTAACCCTAATCTGTATTGCTTCATATCATGTGAATTTGTCAGTCTTTTAGATTATTGTGTTGTATCAGTGTATAAAATTAGTTATAAGAAAACAGAGAAAGAAAAATGATTGGGATACAACAGTGAGAATAAAAAGAAAAAGAAGGGAAGTAAAACATGACAAGTAGTAATATGAGATAATGAAGAAAAATTTGAAATAAAGATGTGAAAGGCAGAAAAACAGACAGAAATATAGATGTGAAAGTAAGCATATGTGTATACATACAAAATAGAGAAGTATTCTCCTAGGAAATATAACAGATGCAGTTATTGCTTTTCTTACCAAATGTGGTGGCCGGGTTATGACAATGACACCCATTTCCTAAGACTTCCTTTTATCATCCACTGCGTTACAGTATTCTCTTGGGAGTTAACAAAAGAGAAAGTGCAAAAGAAAAATATGTATACCTCGAAACTCAGGAAGATTCTAAAAGATAGATAACCATACAGATTTGGTAGTCTAAAGTCTAAACCAAACAAAAAGGTGAATTTTATGTTAGCACTAATCTTTCTGACCCCCACCAAATCTAAAATTTCAACAAGTGATGTTTAACTCAGTTGTACTTCTCTTTCGTCGTTACAATTCTCTTTAACAGGCTCTTCTCCTTTATCACCATCATTAAGCTCCTTCCCCTGCAGTTCCTCTTTATCTTTCTCCTCCCGTTCTTTCTTTTTAGCCTCGAGTTCGTGACTTTCTTTCTTCGTTTTTAGAAAATGCAGAAGCTGTTCAAGACTAGTTTCAATGTTGCTGCTCTTCAGAAGTTGCTCTGCCACTTCAGCTGGAGTGACCTGGGTTTCCTGAAGTAGCTCCTCAATCTGTGGGAAGAGAGAATGTTCTTTAATTCTGAGGTAATTGGAAGCAAGCTGTCTAAAACCACATGGAGTGCAATAGGACATGTGGATATGAACATCCATGCGACCAGGGCGCAGCAACGCAGGGTCAAGCTTCTCCTTATGGTTTGTTGTGAACACTATAATCCTCTCATCCCCACAACTCGACCATAACCCGTCAATGAAATTCAACAACCCCGATAACGTAACCTGTTGTACCAAAAATTATTAGGGTGAGAATAATGTATATGTAAAAGAAGTATTTAAAGTGAACAGATCAATAAATTTTAGATCTCCACCAACTACACTAGGGGAATCCCCAACATCAGAAGAATACCAAGTGTCAATCAAATGTTTGGAGTGAAATTTACTCTTTCCTATGAGAATAAATCCAACACTTCAAACAGAGCATATATCAATCAATACAAAAGTTAACTATTTCTAGAATTTAACAAACCCTATTAGTCTTTAAGTACCCTGAATATAGATTAAGGTCAGCATCAGCAAAGATAAAAGAAGTTAAAACTTAAAAGTGATTGAATTCATATTTATTGTTATTTGCATATGTGATTTCAAGGAATGTCATGAAAGGGACATCTAGAACATAAAATCTGCATACATAAGTGGTTGGTTCGATAAAGATGTATAGACTTAATAATTATAAAATAAACTCCACTATCATTTTTGGAGCGTGAGTTTCTAAAACAATATCTATCCAAGGTTTTCAATTTTCCCACATGTCACAGCATAACTTTATCCTCCTCCTCTTTTTATGTAAATAAATCTCCACTCCCCATTACAATATAGCGAACAGGAACCAACATAATTGTATTTTGGCTTGGCACATAGCTCACTAAACCACAGAATCATCAGAGATCAGAAAGACAAGAAAACGAACCTGTCTATCGTTGTCACTATCCCCGGTGGTGGGTCTGGCGGTCCTGCGATCGCGGAACTCAACGGTGCAATCGATGTCCTCAACAACAAGAATGGACCTATTCGCCATCGTGATGAGCAACCTCCTAAGCTCAGAGTTACACTGCAAATCCGTGAGCTCCAAGTCATAAACATCAAAGCGCAGATAATTAGCCATGGCAGCAATCAAACTGGACTTGCCGGTTCCCGGTGGCCCATAAAGCAAATAGCCCCTCTTCCACGCCTTCCCCACGGTCCTATAATAGTCCCTCCTCCGCACGAACCGCTCCAGATCCCTCAAGACGAAGTCCTTGAGGGCGGTCTCCATGGCCAGCGTGTGAAAAGTGGCGGGGTGGTCGAGGTTGGCCCCCAGCCACACGTCGTTGGGGTTCCCGAACATGCTCTGGTAGTCCATGGTGAAGATCTTCAAGGCCTTCGTGTTCTGCTTCACTTCCTTGGCCTTGGCGAGGATGAAGGGGAGGTAGGTCTCCAGGACCATGGCTTTGTGCTTCCTGTGGAACGTGAGCTCGAGGGAGCGGACCTCGGACTTCAACGTGGAGCTGAGGTCGCGGGGGTTGAGGAACGTTCTGGAATCTTCTTCACGGCAGACGAGGAGCCAGTTAAGCTTCACGTCGTTGAAGACGTCCGTTAGGGACTCGTTGCGGTCCATGGCGAGGACGAAGGTTTGGTCGGACTCGGGTTTGGTCACCTTGAGGCGGTGCGCGTTGGGGGAGATTTTGGTGCCGAGGTAGGTTTCCACGGCGGAGTAGATTGCGTTGGTGGCGAGGCCGTCGAACTCGTCGATGACCATGGTTACCTCCGAGGAGAAGCGGGAGAGGGCGCTGCGGAGGGTGGCGGTGAGGTAGGAGGTGAGCTCCGAGGGGAGGAGGTCGCTGGCCACGGAGCTGATGACCATTGCGGTGGCCGCCAGCGAGGCCGCGGCGGAGAGGAGCGCCTTGGCGGTGGCGAGGTTGGAGTCTGGCGTGGAGGAAGAGAGGAAGGACATTTTGTTTGGGGTGGGAAGGGGTAGCGGAGAGGGGTTGTTATATTGAAGGATTGGGGAGTGCAATTGTTTGAAATGGGAAAAACCAGGGAAGGATCAATAGTGCGTTGCTGACCCTAACGTACTTGACCAACTCCGTAGACTTGCTCGCCATGGGAACCCCTTCATCCTTCTTTCTTTTGCCAAGAAATTTACAAAATGTGCGAAATTTTGTAAAATATCAAATTTTTTTTTCAGGAGTATCCACCGTCAATAACAGTGACTAATTTTCTCGCTGCGATTACATACACAAGGGAGAATTCGAACATTGTAAAATATCAATTTATCCTATTAAGGAAGGTTGAATGTATGTCTTTTTTTAAAAAAAATAAATAAATTAATATTCTAAAATTTTACTTTACAATAATTTAGTTTGGTTGAAAGATAAATAAAATTTGAGTAAAAATTATTATTGTTCAAATGATACAACTTTAAATTTAGCGTATTAATCACTTATATCTAATTCTTTGATTATATATCTATTTTTTGTGCATTTTATTCACTATTTTATCTTTTAACTTATAAAACATTTTTTCACTTATATTACTTCTCATCTTATTTATAAGTCTCAATTTAAAATAATTATCTATTTTTTATATAAAAATTTATTTATATTGTTTCATGATTTAATTATTTTTATATTATATTTATTTAATTTGATGAAATGTATTAGTTATAGACTATTTAAAAGGCATATATTCTAATTGCTTAGAAAAGAATAATATTAATTAGGAGAAAAAGATAGTGTATGACATAAACTCTAAATAGTTAAAAAAAATATTAATTAAGAAAGAAAAATAATAGGTTAAAATACTTTTTTATTCTCTATAATTTCACTTAATTTACTTTTTAGTCCATATAGTTTAAAATAGATTTTTTTAGTCTTATACTTATCTTTTTCAATCCTTTTTAATTTTGATATGTAACTTAAGCTAGATCTTTTTAATTTCTATATTTGCAGGTTTTTATGTTTTAGTTAATGTCATTATTTTTTTTTTTGTAACGTTGTTTTTCTTATTGACATGACAAAGGTATTAATTCAACTATATATGGTCTAGTTGTGTACCTTCTAAAGTATCAGGTTTTGCTTAGAAAGCCTTGCTGAATAGGATACCAAGTAAATGTAACTTAATTAAGCAGAAGGTTCTTAATATTTCTGCTAGTGGATGTGCTTGGTGTGGTGAAGATTTGGAGAATACTTCGCACCTAATATTCGGATGTTATTATGCCTATTCTGTATGGTTATCTATTTTTGCTTGGTTTGGTGTTTCAACAGTTTTACACAATTCTTGTCATGAAAATTTTTCTCATTTTATTGGATTTCCTAGATGCAGTGGTAGAGATAGGATGAGGTGGTCTGTGGTTTAGTTAGCCACAATTTAGTCTCTGTGGCTTGCTAGAAATGATGTCATTTTTAAAGACAAGGTGGTGACAATTACAGATTTAGTGGAATTAATCAAACTATGTAGCTGGAACTGGATTAAGACCAAAGATAAGTCATTTTTTTACTCATTCTCAGCGTAGTTTTCTTCCCCTGGTGTTTGCCTTAACTTCTGGAATAATGATTCTTTCTGATTCTGTACACACCATGGTGTTAGTTTTGTATTTGGTTCTCTGATTACTGAACTTGTTTGATTATTAAATGACATTTTATGGTCCTAGTTTTGTAATGGTGGTAAACATTACAATCTGGTGATTACCTTTTGTATGAACTACATTGAATTTTGTTTAGGTGACTTTGTATTTTGTAATGGGTTGGGGTACCCCTTGTACTCCCCTTAATTTAATTATTTTACTTATAAGAAAAACTATATATGTGTAATGTCGATTTTTTTTCTGGAATTATTCTAAATCAAATCTTTCGACACTTCGTATCTTTTTTATACTCTCACTTACAAAACTCATTGTTGAGACACTTTTTTTTTCATTTTCACAAAATGGAATACATTTATCATATCAACACAAAACACACACCATTAAGAAGAAATAACGATAGAAATTAAAAAGATTACAAAACTCTAAATATAAAGACTAAAAAGATCTATCTTAAACTAGGTAGACCAAAAAGGATCGAAAGAGATAAATATAAAAATTAAAAATGTCTATTTTAAACTAAAGGGACTAAAAATGTAAAGTAAGTATAAATATAGGAATTAAAAAAATATTTTAATCAAAATAATATAAGATAGTTTTGGAAAATTTTTTTTTTATAAAAATATGATAAATTTATTATTTTCAATTATATTAATTACTTTTCTTAATCTTGATAAATTATGTAAATTTTATATATACGAACGGATGTAGTATTTTTTATGTTTATTTTACTTATTTTTTCTTGAATTTATTTTTCAAACTTCACATACCATCTTAATAACTACTCAAATTTATTCAAACTTTCTAATTATTAACTATCAACGCATATTTAATTTTTAGAAACGTTTTCGTTATGTTGATAAATGTCTTGTGACCTTGTTATATTTATTTTTTCACTTAAATTTTATTAATTTTATTTTCAAGTTATAAAAATATAATATATTTAATTATAGTAACAAATATATTTATAATAAGTATATTCTGATTAATTTTTTTAATTTAACTATAAAATCTTAAATAGTTGATGACGATGAAAACAACGATGATAGTAGTAATGAGGGTGACGATGCAACAATAACGATGGTAGTGATAATAATAATAATAATAGTAGCTACGACATTAGTAATGATGGTAGCAACGATAATTATTATAGTAATTGTGATAATAATAATGATAGAGATAATTACGATAATAATATTAAATTGTAATCTTATTTATAATATTTTAATTTAAATCTTTTATTTTAATTTAAGGATTGTGCTTAAACATTTTCATTTTTACCTAAAAATACTTTCTGCTAATATATACCCCTATTGATATGTTTACAATTAGAGCCTATAATATTCGCCCTATTATCATATTAGTTTATCTTGTAGACATGTTTCTTAAATTCATATAAGATTTATTTACTTATTTGTGTATAAGCCTAGAGTGACTTAGATAAAACACA